GGCAGAAGCCACCCAGTGAGCACCAGGGCTGACCTGGCTGACCTGACCCAGATATTAACCCAAGCCTCCAGATGTGAACGCGCGCTGGGATTACTCCACCGCTGCATCCAGCTCCACATGCTTTCCTACTGAGGCATCCTGAAATGACCCCGGAGCCAGAGCGGACTGTTGGCTTTACTATCAGACTCCGGAGCAGCCACGCTCTTTCCTGTGCGCTTGTTTATATTGATAGTATTTATAGCACTTGTTCAGTGGCGCAAAAAGTGGGTATGCACTGCATGCAACGCATAGGGGCGCTGCACTAGAGGGGGCGCAAAAAAACGATGAGAGGAAGTTTTTTTTTTTTTCTCGTCAGCATTTTATGTACTTAACAGCTGTTCTGTGTATGAAATGATCAATCATAGTAGAAGAGAAGAAGAAGAGATGATCAATAACAGAGGAATAGCAATGATTAGGCGCCCCTCCCCTTCTGCCAGCCATACAGGTAGCTTGGTTCTCCCTTCGAGAACGAGCCGAGGCGCGTTTTCTTTCTTTTAAATTTGAATTGTAGTGCACTCGACAACAGGGAGCTAAAGATGGGGCGGCAGAAAAAAACACTCCGGGGCATAAAACAAAACACGGAAGAGGGGGAAGGATAAAGATGTTAGAGAGACGAAGAAAAGCTTTGCCCCTTAAACTACAAGATGGTAAAAATGAATCTCTTCAGCTATTGATAGATTGTTTAGCTGAAGTCAAATTTTGGATGGAACAAAACTCTCTTTACCTTAATCAGAGTAAAACTCAAGTTATATTATTTGGTCACAGACTTCAGACTACAAATCCAGATCTGATTCTTGGTTCTTTAGCTTGGTTTTGTCAGACCTCTGCTAGGAATCTTGGTTTCACTTTTGATAGCTCTTTAAAGCTATATAAACAAGTTAGCTCTGTCATTAATTCAGGTTTTTATCACCTGCGGATTTTAGCAAAAGTTAAATCTTAGTTTTGTTTCAAGGACTTTGAAGGACTTATCCATGCCTTCATTACAACTCGTTTGGATTATTGCAATTCAATATATAAAGGCATGGATAAATCACAGATGCAGCGACTTCAAATGATCCAGAACGCAGCAGCACGGCTTATTACAGGAACCAGGAAGCATGACCATATAAGGCCTACGTTGGCCTCTTTACACTGTCTTTTATCGAATAGATTTTAAGATTCCCAAGTGAAAAAATATTATTATATTTCAAACATACTTACAGTTGTGAAAGTACATTTTAAGTATACCAAGTAGGCTATTAAGTGTACTACCTATAAATATATATGAAGTATACTAAAAGTATACTTGGACCAATTTTGAAATTATAACTTTAAACATAATTGTACCAAAATACACTCTTAAAAATATATATTAAATAAAAGTATACTTTAAGTGAACAAAATATGTATTTGCCCACGTGTAAATATACACTTACTCAAGTGCATATTTAAAAGATGTTTAAAATATCTGTCAAAGATTGTGTATATTTTAAAATACAGAATATAGAAAAATAGATTTTTTTAAAAAATTCACTTAACACTACTTTAATTTATTAATTTCAGTATGTTTTAAATTACATCTCTGGTTAAATTTTAGGCTAGTAAAGTATGCCTTTGTTTTTTTATTTCCTTTATTTAACCAGGTGAACCCCGTTGAGATCCAGATCTAATTTTTAAGAAGGACCTGTGCAGAAGTCTGCACCAAGCAGCAACCTGGTCACAAAATAAAACAAATTAATACATATGCACAAGTATGCCTTTTAGGTACCTAAAAAGTATGCCCCCCTAAGCACCCCGGATGAATGTCTAAAGCCACTTTGTTGACATGTAGAATGTCAACAAAACAGTCCGACTCTGGTCGGCGAGGAGAGCCTTCCGCGACTGGGCCGGGGCGTGGCCAGACGATGGTTACCCCTCTCCGGTCGCGCACAGCATGTTCGTGGAGAACGTGGTGCTAAATGACCTGCAGACGACCTGATTCTAGATAGAATCAGGATAGGTCAGTCGAACTTTATTAACAAACCAGCGTTCTGACAACTATCCCAGCATGCACCGCGCGCTTCTTCTTCTAGGGGCGAAAATGATATCGGCGGCTGCTTACTGTAGTTGCTAGACCTGTTGTGGCGCAACATTGATCCATATATAAGGCGCACCGGATTATAAGGCGCACTGTCGGCTTTTGAGGAAATTGAAGGTGTTTAGGTGTGCCTTACAGTGTGGAAAATACGGTAAGTAAGTCAATGGCATTAGCTCCAGTTCATACTCCAGACCTTTCGGAAAGCTGTCTGGCAGTGTGCAGCAACTTGCTGTTTCAATACTTCTTCACAGAAACAGCAGTTGTAAAGTAGTAAAAATTAATCATGTCAAGCAGCAGATGAAAGGCCTCTTCTTTTGTAAAGAGGTAAAGAAATTTCTGTTTAACCACTTGTATACAGGTGCCAATCAATAAATCTAAATATCAATGAAAAGCACATTCTTTTTCAGTAATTACATTCAAAAAGTGAAATTTGTATTATGTAGACATGTCTCTGTATAAAGCAACCTACATGCCATAGAGCCAAGAGAAACACCAGCAATTTTACATTTGGTAAAAATAAATGGTTCAGTCCTTTTCCTCCTCAGCCCTGCAAAAATACTTCTGACATCTGGTTCAGATGTGGTTAATCAAAAGGAATATAACAGCAATTAAATAAATGCTTCTCAATTCATAAATTTACTTTTTCATGCTAATTTACAGAGATGCACCTGTGCGTATAAGCTGCGACCAGGTTAAGTTCTGAAAACATGGGGAGTGACATCTCTTCCTCTGCTCAGCTGATTCTCAGTGCACACATCTCTTCCTGACAACATTCAAGCACAAGTGCTTCTCAGTCCAAAAAAAAAAAAAAACAAGTGTCTCCTTTACTTTCCCTCGACCTCTGAACATGTGCACCCATCACGACCCCGAGGTTTGTTGCAGAAGCGCCCTGAGATGAAGGAATTTAACTCCTTCCGCGCATCTCTGTAGCTCTCGTAGCAGCAGCTGCATTCTTTAGGGGCAGCCTCGATTTCCAACTCCAGCCGTGTGCACAAGTTGCAAACTTCTCTGCAAACACCACAACACCCGGACAACAACAACCTGACGGGGCGTCACGATGATGAAGTTCAATCGGCCCGCTGAGTGGCTCAACTTGCAGAGGTGAAGAAAAGGGACAGAAAATAAACAAAAATGCAGCCTGCAGCCTACCATTTTGATCCAGCGCTTCGAGGCTCCAAGGAGTCCCAGAATAACTCCTTTCGCTGCGGTTTCCCCCTCGCCATGAAAACGATCGTTAGATTGTCACATTTCTGCAGTTTTTTTTTTCTTTTCTTTTTTTTTTTTTTGTTGCCCTTTCCTCTGTGTCTTTCGCCCACTCAAGAGTATAGCTGTGGCGTTCAGACAGACAAAAATGCAGAGACTGCTTTTGCAGAAGGAATTGGTGATTGGAGCTCCGGGATCATATGGGCTTTTTGTCAGACGCTTTTAAAGGGACACGGTACTGTTTTTAAACGGAGGGACAAGAGGAAGTTCACGTTCAGGCGCATTTTCCTTCCACCGTCCGGGTTGATGTTTAAAAGACGGGCTGCGAAGGTCGCGCAGCGGCCGTATGGCGCAAAGCCTGGTGCGAGCGCTTCCCAGTGTTTTTGCGCTCCTGCTTGGAACAGTGTGACGTCAGGTGGCGGGCAGACACGTGCGGGGGTCAAAGAGTTCACTCATTTCCCACATGGCAGCAGTCACAGGGAGTCCAACTGCAGCACAAGCGCCCTTTTACTGCAAGTTTTTCCGCCCTGCATATGCGCATATCCATAGAAAAGATTTATTCAAGAAGGTAAAATTATCAGGTAGAATCATGCAGGTACAGATATATTCCAGGTGTTTATTTATTTTAACTTGATGACTTACAGCAGGAGTGTGCGAATGCAGTCCGAGGGCCATTTGCACCCCTTGGTGTGACTTTATGGTGGCACCTAATCTAATTCAAAAATGGTACAAGCAGTTGATGTGAAGGGAAACCTTTTTTTTGACGAATTAATATCTTCTTAAAAAGATAAAAACGTTAGGTAGACTAGAACATAAAGTATGTATATATATATATATATATACATATATATATATATATATATGTTATGCAAGTTTCATAGTAAGAACAAACAGACTTTGTGGCTCAGTTGGAGCAGGCGCACCATGTGCAGAGGCTACATTCCTTGATGTTCTGGGCCATTTGGTGCATGTCTTCCAACTCTCTCTCCACCCTACTTACCGTTTAGTAAAGGCCAGTAGCACTAAATAAACCTAAATAAAAACAGATTGGCTAAGCACAGCAAATGCTTTCAAAAACTGATCATCCACGTCACCACTGAGCTCTGTTGTATTTGTTTTCAAAGACCGACACGTATTCCATTTTTCTATTTTGAAAAGTCAGACTACATGATTTGTTTTATTAAAATATTATTAGTTAATAGTGAGCATGTAAAAAGAGAGATTTTTATCTGCTTTCATAATCCAGCCTCAAAGTTTTAATTTTATATAAAAACGGTTAACAGGATTTTAATATTTTTATATATATTTGAATTGCTCATGTATTTCTACTATTTAATATATTAAGTTATTCAGTTTAACCTCACAATATTACAGAATGTTATGTTTGTTTCAAAAGCATATTGGGCATTAGACCTAAGATTAAAAAAATATATTTAATCATCTTGTTGAAGAACTGCAATACATTTTCTACTTAAACCAGTTTTTTATAACTTTCTAAACCTTAAATATTCTTGTGTACTTGAAATAATATAGTAAAATTTATGTAAAAATAAAATCACCTCCACATATCAGACATATTATATATAGTTAAGTATAAAAATATAAAGGTTGTTTACTTTTTCCCCGCCATTTCTGATAATGAATAATAAACAGATCTAAAGCTGATTTGATCCCGTCTTCACTCAGGCATGGAAACCTGCCCCCTGCAGATCAAACTGAGGCACTGCAACTGACAGAAGCCTATGAGCTCACTCAATACTATAGGAAGCACACTAAATGTCAAGTCAAAACATTGTTAGGTGCCAAAATAAAGAAACAGAAGTTCAAAGAGTGGTGATATTTAATAAAAGTCATTAAAAACAAAAGTCAGAGATAATATACTTTAGGTACAGCTTCTACATTCATCTGTTCATTCAGAGACAACTAATTATAACAAAGACTTTTAAGTCAGACAGATTTTACCTCACCTCAAAAAAGTAACCTTTGTCCTGCTCAAACACATTAAAAGGTTTTTTCTAAAGAGATTAACAATTGCACCATTTAGCTTATGAGAAGAAAATGTTAAAGAACACATAAATATACGACAATGTTAATTATTTTCGACTCCTCTCTCATAGCAAGCATGTAAAGTTTCAGCAGAGTGACTAGATGCTCTACCGACTGCTGTCTAGATATATTCACATTCATTACCATAATGATCATCCCTTCATCTCACATAATGAAACTTAGCACAGTATAAAAACATGAAGAACCCTCCATGAGAGCAGGTCGTCGGTGTGTCCCCTCTCAGCTGTAGCGACTGCTGCGGCTGTGACTCCTGTGCCTGGAAGAACTGCGACTTGAAGAGCGGGACGACCTGAAGCGGACGGATCACAACGAAACAGTTCAGCTTTTAGTTGTCAAGAGAGACGATCACAAGGATGCAGACGCCTTTATTTCATCGGGAAGCATTGGCATAGAAAATAGCCTAATCAATAAATCAATTGTGAATATTTTATCCAAAACATGAAGAGAGAATGTCTAAGAAGATATAATTAATCTGAAAAAGGTTGAATAGAGATCTGCTTCCCTGCTGTCTTACCGTGAGCGGCGCTCAGAGCTCCTGTAGCTCTCGCTTCGCCTGCGCCCTCGTCTCCTGCTCACGCTCCGACTTCTACTGGAATAGCTGTCGTAGGAATCGGACCTGGAGCAAAATAAAAAACAAGATGTAAAAGATTATTTAGGTTTGGTTTTAGTGGTGTTCAGAATGAGCATCAGAACATTCTTGTGTTAACAATTGTTTAAGTACAGTAAATGCAACGCTAACTACTGGGATTTAGAGTTAGAACAAACAACCAAACTAAACTGAAGCCAAAAACGAGCCAATAGCCATTTAACCATGTTCCAGATGCTGACTGGAAAACGGTGGGATGTGAGATTTGAGATTTTTCTGTAGAAATGCACATGAAAGCTACAAACTGTCAGAAGTACAAATAATCACCACAGCATTCCTCCACACCCCCAATTAAAAATATCAAGGTATTTGTATTTTTATAAATTTTTACTTGTATGCAATAAATTAAATATGTCATATATTGAAGAAACATATTGAGATGTTTATTTTAAAATCGATCTATAAATCGCTGTAAATCTGAAAGATGACAACAGTGCCACAGGTTTGAGTCTGAGGAGTATAACACACCTGGACCGCCGACGGCGATGATGCGAGTGGCTTCTGGAGGGACTTCTACTGTACGACCGACTGTTGGGAATGCAAAGGGAAAACAAAAATTATAATCCAATGAAGAGAAAAAAAATAAATAAAAAGAAACATTTTTATTTTGGCACTTTTGTAGCTCCATACCAAGAAGCTACATTCCTGTTAATTAAAATAGACTATTAAGTAACAGAGATGGTGTACCTATGCCTGCTGTAACTTCGATATGTGCTGCTGCGAGAGCGAGATCTTCGTCTGTGGGTTCTCCGACTCCGGCTGCGGCTCCTTCAGGAACAACAATAAAAGTGACTTGAACAAAAGTCACAATTTGGCAGTTTAAACAGGTTATTGTGATGTTTGTCTCTTACCTGGAGGAGTAGCTGTAGCTACGGGATCTACTTCTGGATCTGCTGTAGGAGCGTGACCAGCCCCCAGAACGGGATCGGTGGCTGGAAGCAGAGCGGGACTTTCTCGATGCAGAGCTGGACTTCTTTGGCGAGCGCGATGCACCTCTGGCCTTCCCCACAGACGGGGATCTTTCCTCACTTGAACTCTCCTGGTTTCGTGGCCTCTGGTTGAGCCGTACCGTTTTACGAACCTCATCGAACAGCGAACCCGGTCGGACTCGGTTTTTACTCTTGATCTCCATTTTCACTCCCTGCATGCCCAGAGGCTGGATGCTCTCGTTGTTTTGTTTGCTTTTCACCGTGACGGCCTGGACGTTCACCTCTGGCGTGAGCGCCATTCGTTTTAACGGCTTCCATTTGAAGTTTATGACAGCTCTGCCCGGAGGTGCTTCTTCCTGTGGTCCAGCAGTTGTTGATGAGGAAGTGACATCAGGCTGGTCTTTGCTCTGAGGCAACGCACCGTCAGTGCTCGCCACTTCTGATGATTTTGAGGTAGAATTTAGGGTTAATTTAGTGGCAGTGTTGGACAAATCAGGCGTAACAGGATGTTCAATGATGTCAACATTGTGCTCCGGGGTGCAGATTTCCATATCATCTAAAGAATCTTGGTCTTTGACGCTGTTCTGGCTGGATGCTCGGTCAGAGTGATTTGTGCTTTCAATGTTTTCTTTGGATCTCAGTTGAATCTTTTCTTCTTCTTCTTTCACAGGCTTCTTATTCAAATCAGTTGAATCTTGGTTATTTTTGTTAAAGTCTTCACCCATGTTTTCTTCAACCTCTCTAACAGGACTATGTCTCTCCCTTTTAGACTCGTCATCCTCTTCCTCCTCGTCAAACTCCAATGGCGGCTGCCAATGGAAAGTCTCTTTCAGCTTCTGGTGTTTTCTCTTGGACTTTTTAGCTTTGTCCTTCCCATGATGAGAACTGCTCTTACTCTCTCCTTTCCTTTTGTGTTTATGCTTCCGTTTGGCTTTTTTCTTGCTCTTCTTGCGCTCCGGTTGTACAACTTTATGAGCACTATCATCTGAGGGACAAGAAGAGGAAGCGGCTGCTACCGCAGCAGCAACTTTATATCCTAGCTCGGTCACTGCTTTTGACGTCTTCTTCATGGCCTCATAGTCTGATTCAGAACTCGCTTCTCCTTCCTCTTTTTCAGAACCAAACGTTTTTCGGTCTGCTGGATTCTCAGAATCTCTGTCTGAATCCCATCCGGTCGCCACCATCGTGCTGGACTGGACCGCTTGCGCCTCGGTTGCCATGTTGCTTTGGGTAGCTTTGTCGCTGTCACTATCCCACTCAGAGCGGCTTTTGAAGCTTTCGTCTGCCAGTGAAGAGTAACGTTTTGCTTCTGGCTCTTCTGAGTTTCCCCTCTCTCTTTTGTTCTCCAAAGAGGCACTAAAATCTGGGCTACGCTCACTACTCACTTCTTTTCCTGAACCCGAGAGTCCGTCTTGACTCTTGTTGGCCAAAATATACTTATCTAAATTTTTTATTCTGTTGAGAGAACTGTAGTACTCCTTCCATTCTTTGTCTAATGAATTTTTCTGGCTGCTTCCTCCTTTTTGGTCCTTTTCAGAGTCTGATCTGTCGCAGGACGTAGACTTGCTCCGGTACGGCTCGGCTGATCTTGACCTCGACCTGCTAGAACTTCGGCTCCTGGAGCGACTGAAGGACTTGCTTCTAGAGGATCCACCGTGGGATGTTTTGTGAGCCGACTTTTCTTCAACATCTTCTGGTATAGACTTCGGTGTGCGAGTTTTTTTGGAGAAGCCGTCCCCTGCTGGGCCAGCGGTAGAGGGCTTACTATGCATAACTTTAGCTTTGATTTCTTGAATATGAATGTAGGAGGGCTTCCAAGGCTTCTGGTCTGGTTTCCAGCGAGAAGGAGGAGGACTGTCACTCAGCGGGATCACAGGAACCGTTTCAGCTACTGGGAGAGCTGGCAGTATGGGAACAGGTGTAATCTTTTTATCTTGGACCTTCCCGGGCACAGGCATCATGGCATCCATTTTAGGTTTGGTTGTCTTCCTCTTCCTTGGAGATCTGGAAAAACTCCTTTTTCTAGAGGACAAAGATCGGGATCTGGACGTGTACCTAGACCCTGATCTCGACCTGGACTGAGAAGATGACCGGGATCTTGATCTGTACCTTGACCGT